GAGGCAGGAGGGTCGAAAGTTCAAGCCCAGCCTGGGCAACTTAGCTCCACTTTGTCTGCAAAGATAAAACAAAAAAGGCTCAGAGCCAAGGCCCTGGGTTCGCTTCTCAGTGGGCAAGAAAGGAAGGAAGTTCTGTTTCTTCAACTCCTGCTTTCTGTTGAACTGAAACCTGGCCCTGGGCCCTCCCTGCGGGGTTCTTTCCTTGCTGGGGCTCGCTGTGCCCGCACCTGGCTGCAGGCCACACTCAGCCCCCCGCTGTCCTAAGTGGACCACCGTGAGCCCCAGCATTCACTCAACAAACAGAGCGTTTGGTGGCAGCGGCCCAGCAGTGCCGGCTTCACTCGGGGGACTGGGGCTCGCACAGGGTCCCATCTAGGGCAAGGCCAGTGGGAGGCGGCCTGGGCCCGGGGGGGGGACACTCGGACACGAGCCAGGGAGGGCGTGGGGCCAGGGCACGTGCCACCGAGGCCAATGGGACAAGGGGACCAGGGTGGAGCGGTCTCAGCCCAACCACCCCGCCTTCCGCCAGGGACTCACGGCCCAGCCTGGGGACGGCACAACCAGGCAGGGACAGAAGTGACCCCCAGGTCCAGGACGCTGGGTCAGGGATGGACGGTTTGGGCAGAAGAAGGGGCAGGGAAGCGGGGAGCAGGGACAGCAGACAAAACTGATGCTCCGATGGGAGGCAATGAAGGCCCAGCAAAGCCAGGCCGCTGAGGACAAACGTGATGACGGTTACGCCAGGTGGGGCTGCTGGGCTACAGTTTAGGCCGCCATAGCCAGGTGAGGCAAACAGCAAGAGTTCAGGACACGGTGGCTCATTTCCCACCGAGACGCGGAGTCCTGGCCCGATGCTCCTGGGAATGAGGCCCTGTGTGGCGGCTCTGACGTCCCACAGCTGCCTTCTAACGTCCAAAATAGGTGCGCTGCCTGTGGGGATCAGTGTCCTGGCCCATGGGTGATGAGAGAGGAAAACCTCAGAGGCCAACGGGCACGGACGTCTGCGCAGGCGCGATGGTGCCAGCCTTGTCCCAAACGCCAAGGGCATCTGCACCCCAGGCCTCAGCCGCACAAGAGGCGGAAGGGGCCATGGGCAGGGGACCCCGGAAGTGATGCTGACGCTGGCCCCACCCAGCCCCAGGCTTCAGACCCTGCAGGGCAGCAGGCGTGGCCTACGAATCCCCCAGGTGCTGAAAGGCGCGTGTGTGCATGGACCCGCCCCTCATGGGAAGGCCACTTCTCGGGGTCTGCACAGAGCGAGGTGAGAAGGTCAGGAAGCTGAGCGGGACCGTGTGCAACAGTGATCCCCGCACCTGCAGGCTGAGGCAGGAGGATCCCTGGGAGTTCGAGACCAGCCCGGGCCACATAGCAAAACCCTGTGTCAAAACAAAAAGGCAGCCCAAGGTCCCCAGTGTCACTGAGACCAACAGAAGAGGAGCCCAGAAACAGAGGAGCCCCAGTGAGGGAGGCGTCTGTGGGGAGGGCAGCAAGGAGGCCAGCAGGCAGGGACATGCTTTTGTTCTTGTTCTCTCTTAACAGGCTTCGCTGTGTCGAGCAGGAGCTCAGTGTTCCCCTATCCCCCAGTGGTGCCGCGGGCATCACCAGAGCCCCCCATGGGGGACGGTGGTCCAGAGCCCACCTTCCTGCGTCCTCTCCAGCAACAGGAGACCTGATGACCCCTTCCACTTAGCGTCCGGCCGCGGTGAGGATGCAGCACCAGGGCTCAGGGTGGCTGCTGGGTGCCAGCGTGGTACAGTGAGTGTCGGGGTGGGGGACTCGCTCACGGCACTGCGTCGTGTGAGCTTTCTTCAGATGTAAGCGCTCGCCATGGTTACCGATCGCACCGCGTCCGGAACACTTCCCAGCACACAGCGCAGAAGGGACGGAGTCCACTCACACTGGGGCCCTGCTGGGTGGGGAGCGGCGGGGGTGGCAGCCTGGCAGCAGGAGCCGCCCAGTCTCCACCGTGGGCCCGGTGACCCTCTCGCCCCATCTGAGCGGAGATCCAAGGAAAACAGGGTGCTGGCCTGGCCCAGCCCCACCGGCTCCGTCCCGGCGGCTGAGATCCGCGCTGGCAGCACGGAACGGACGGGCCTTTGAGAGAATGACTCCTCTGTCATCTACCTACCCATCCCAAAGGGACGGAGACTGGTCCGGGGCAGGGCAGTGGTGCCCCCGACGGCAGGGACGCCTTCCTGTCATGCGCAGGTGGCGGTGGAGGCCACGCCCGAGGTCACCAAGAGATAGGATCTCAGGCGACCGTGACTGGAACGGACGGCACTGACACAGCGGCATCTTCCACGCGAGGGGAGGAGGAAGGCAGAAAGGCCGGGCTCTAGAGGCCGGTGACAAACAAGGAGTCACCTCCCGAGAATCCGCGACCCCTCCCAGACTCGCGGCTGTCCTACCCCGTCATTACCGGGGCTTCTCCACGAGGCTTTCCCCGAGCTCGGCCCTGGCCCCGAGGCACCTGCCGGTGTGGGTGGGGAGAGGCTGCTGCGAGGGAACAGGGATCCAAACAGACACCGCGCCAGCAGCCGGTCCCCGCGGGGGAGGCACCAAGCCCGTAGCGGAGCTGCTGTCCAGAAAGAAAACCAGTCCCCGCTCGGAGGCCCAAGCCTGCAGTCCAGCTCGGGGGAGGCCGAAGCAGGAGGATCCAGGGTTTGGGGCCGAGCCTGAGCAGTTTAGAGAGTCTCGTCTCCAGATGAAGCCAAACAAACAGAAAACAGGGTGTGGGCATGGGGACAGAGGGATAAAGGGTACAGCTACGGTGGGACCAGGAGGGCGAGTCCGCAGAAAACGAGACACAGCCCAGACACGCCATCTGGCTGGGCCACACTGGGCCACGTCTGAAAGAGATAAGTGTACAGTGGCCTCATGCAGCGCTCCTCACACAGGGCAAGGGAGCAGGCAGCCCAGGGCCACCCACAGGTAATGGGGAGACCAAGTGTGCTGCTACGTACAAGGGGTTGTCGATCGACTATTTCTTTTCTTTTCTTTTCTTTTTTTTATTTTTTTCTGAGACAGTCTTGCTATGTAGCCCAGGCTGGCCCTCAAACACAAGGTGATCCTCCTGCTCCAGCCTCCAGAGTGCTGGGATTACCATGCCCCGCTCAATTAAAAAAAAAAAAAAAAAAAAAA